CATCTACATCTTTATAGTTTTTAGAGATAAATTTATTTTCACTTATAGATCATTCCAATTATTTCTGTATGGTTTGTTTTTGAAATTGAATATTTCTTTTTAATTAGTATGAATAATACTATCCGATGATATAACAATATTATTTTATAGTTATACATGAGTACATACTAGATTTTGATTTGCAAATTCATTTTTTAAAGTATTAACATCTGATTTGCAAAAGAATTAAATTGATATGATATATTAGATCTTTTAAATATGAATTTTCAAAAGTTCACTAAATTGAAATCAGATGAATAATTTGTATATTACACGTATCACGTTCAAGTATTTCAATTTTAGTTACTAAAAGAACAGAAGAAACAAAACAACTGACTTGAGCGATATTCCGATAATAACTCATACTTCTACCATGGCGGTACTATGGCATTACTGTATTGTTGGGGAACGTTCGATTCATTATTATTTTTTATAATTCGACTTCATATTCTTTCATAATATTTCAAGAAATAGAATTTCCTGACTTATTGACGCTTTCGTGCCAGTTATATTTATGTGCCGTAACGATAATTTCTATCGTACTGACGTTCGATATTAAGGGCGGAATATCTCCGAGATCGTAACTGGATGAATGACAATATACAATAGATTTTACAGCTATTTGAGTTTGAAAAAATCAACTTTTTTGCATGAAATATTATTTGAAGGGTTATATTCGATTTCCACAGTGAAAAATTAATGTATAGTGGAATTTTCCTCCGATTATTAATTTAATTAATTAAATATATATAATTATAAAATTTTATCACTTCATTTTTTCATTATATTCACGTGCAAACATTAATAAAAATACATTTGAATAAAATTATTATTTATTAAATTCAATTTTTTATTTTTTTTAAATAAGGTTAATTGATGAGTATTTTTTAAAGTTTCAATATATTGTATCTAAATCAAATATCTAAACCAAAAAGATATGAAAGTAAATACATATTGGGTCGTTCGGAAAGTCATTTCGTTTTTTTTTTGTGAAAATGAAAGACAATTTTCATATAATGAACAAATATTTTATTAAATTATATATTGGCCATTCTGATCCAATACCTTTTGCCATCTTTCTGGTAGTAGCATGATTCCACGCTCATAACATTTTTGGTCTTTGATGGCAAAAAACTGATCGAGATGATTTTTGACCTCCTCTTTTGAAGTGAAGGTTTTACCATCTAAAAAATTTTTCAGTGACCGAAACAAATAATAATCCGAAGGTACCAGAACTGGAGAATATAGTGGGAGTGGCATTATATCCCATTCAAGCTGTAAAAGCTTTCGGCGAGAGACCCAACTTGTATGAGGTCTCGCATTATCTTGGTGGAACACTACACCTTTTCTGTTGATTAATTCTGATCTTTTCTGTTGAAGTGCATCATTCAGTTTGTCCAGCTGATGACAGTAGATTTCCGAATTAATTTTTGTGTTATCCGGTAAAATTACAAAAAAAAACGATTCCTTTAAAATCCCACCAAACAGACAGCATCACCTTTTTTTGATGGATATTGGCTTTGGAAATGCTTTGAAGCGGTTCATCTTTTTTGCTCCATGATCTCTTGCGTTTGACATTGTTATATACAACCCATTTTTCGTCCCCAGTAATGATGCGCTTCAAAAATGGATTATTTTCGTGACGTTTGAGAAGCGATTTACAGACGTCAACGCGACGACACAAATTTCTCTCCGTGAGAACATGAGGAACCCATATAACCAGCTTCGAGGTTAAACCCAGGCCTTTCAAGTGGTCATAAACAGTTGAATTTGATAAATTTAACCTCTCATCGATCTCACGTGTTGTTATTCGCCGGTTTGCATCAACTAATGCCTTTATCGTGTCTTTATCAGCTTCAACCGGCATTCCAGAACGTTGTGCATCTTCAACATCAAAATTGCCGGATCGAAATTTTGCAAAACAGTCATGGCACTGGCGTACTGTCAACACATCTTTTCCATACACATCGGTTAATTTCTTTCTGACTTGAACAGCATTTTTACCTTTTCTATAGTAAAAAAATAAAATATGACGAAAATGCTGCTTATTGCTCTCCATATTTAAAAGGGCACTAACCAAAAACTACTGTGTAGAATCAATTGGATTTTTTCACACACAAGCCTTGCTATATCAGCTCTCAAAACATATAATGATTATGCGGCTTAAGTGTGAAGTTGGGTGCAAAAAAATTAAATCCTATCGGGAAAAAACGAAATTACTTTCCGAACAACCCAATATTATTTCTTACCAAGCTAATCAGTCTTTAATTATTATATAATCGATTTCACGTTCATTAAATAGGCAATAGTGTAAATAAAAAACAAGAGACTTTCAATCGATTCGTTTTCGATTGCTTTCACGAACGCAATAATGTTTATGTTAAATAAGATGGAACGTTTAATCGAGTTGCAAAATAAAAAAACAAATCAATGCTATTATAAATGTTATTTCAATCGAAACAAATGTGTTGTTTATTATGCACTTAAGTTGCATTTTTGTTATGCGACTATTCGTTTATAAAAGTCATGAAAAAATATTGAAATATTTGTAATACATCGACAAATAAAAAAATAAACGATCACGTCTAATAAATAAAGCCTTTCGACTATGAACAAGCATATTTCATTTTTTATGAATAAGTTGAATTTTAAATAGACACTAACTTTAGTGATTGCTTTTATTTCAGGCTTTTATCACATACGAGCAGCGGTGATCGTGTAATAAGAAAATTTTATAAAAATGTACCATTTTGTATGGTCCTTCTTTCGAAAAAAAAATATCAATGGTCTTTTAAATTCGAACTTTCGAGGAACTTTTTGTTCTCTAAATATCGTCGTTAAATATATATCCTTCCTAATATAAGTATGATTTACGAATATGATCGAATAATATTTGTACTTTTCGTATTATTAACCCAGCGATTATGCCAACTTCATTATTCAGGAATGCATCGATAAAAACGACAATTCAAATCTTGATTACATCATCATAAATGCACACTCACTTTGTTTCGATAATAAACGCGAACGATAAACTATCACATTTTCTATCGAAGTTATTTAAATCTTTTACTATTCGATAAAGAGTCACTCGTGTTTGTGTAATGAGGCCAATTCTTCCTTGCAATTAAAATAATATCCTTGCAAGAATCTTATATTCTTGTTACTCTTGTTAAACTGCGTCGATAGATTACAGTTTCAGAGGAATCGAAGGAGATTTCAACATTTCACGTTTTAAGCGATGTCCGCATACGCGAAAATCGATGTAAAGCATAATGAAAGGATCTTCAAATCCATAAATCTGTTTCAACCAAAACATACTTCATATGTAATTTAGAAGAGTGCTCTGACGGGCGAAATTCTAAATTTGAAAATGAGCAAATTGAAAGTGAGGATGATTTGTTCGACACTGAGGAAGTTGAAAGCAATTGTTCGTGTGATATCGACGATGAAGAAGAAAATATTTTGAATGCCCGTAGAGAACAAAAACGCCGAGGAGTTTTACTAGATTCCGAAAGTGACAGTAACCAAAATGTCCAGTATACTCAAGTGGCTTTAGATGGAACTGTTTGGAAAGAAATAATATAAGATTTAACAATCGTAAAACTATCACATTGCTTCAAGCAAGTATCAGGTCCAATGGCATACGCCAAACGAAATATCATATTTGGTAAAATCAAAATAGCATTTTTTGTAATATTTGATAATAATATTATTCAATACATAGAAGCAAAAGCGTTGCAAGTTCTAGGGACTAAACGGAATCTGCCAATATAAAAAATATATGCCTTCATTGCAATTCTATACGCACGTTCTGCTTATCAAGCAAGAAATTTACCTATTTCCTATCTATGGAATATAATATGGGGACCTACTTTTTTATTAGCGGAAGAGTTTGTCAAAGCTTATCACAAATTTCTCCAAAAAAAAGAAAACATACAAGGAACATCAAGTAATCAATATAATATGTATTAGCGAAAAACATACTAGATACGATTTTGCAAAGATAATAAAACAACTAAATCTTGCATAATTTGTAAAAAATTTGTCTGCGGTAAATGTATGAAGGAGAAATTTATTATACGATAAAAATACAAATGAGAAAACAAAAAGATCCTTCATTTATTTCTAAACAAAGTAAAAGCTGCATCTATGATCTTCTATTTATGTTATGTTCTATTATATTTATGTCCTATTTATGATACATTAAAAATGAAAGTATATGATTGATTATTTTATTATTATTTAAAAGTTATGTTATCTATTAATTCTTAGAATAAATTGATAATTCCTTCTGAAGAAACATTTATTTCGTAACCGATCAAATAGGGTAAGAATAGATATACGTGAAATGCCGGTACGGTTAGTGTGAAACTTACATAACTCGTAATATGCATTAAATATAAAGTAATTTGAATCTAATGTTTTCATACAATAAAATTTAGGACTTGAAGTTGTTCATCTAATGCTTTCATCTAATATCGATAAAAATGAATTTTCTACTGATTCTGATAGTAATTCGATAACTTTTCTTTTGCATTCCATCAGATAAATATCAAATTTTGAACTCGGAGTCGTTGCCTTTATATAATATCAATAAAATCACAAAGGAAAATCAGTCTTGTTCGCCGCATATGGAAATTTCATTCCAGATAATCCAGAATAAGAAATTCATTTATATTTTCTAATTTTCGTCAAAGTTCTTCGTCGTCTTGGTGCAAAATACTTATTGTGCAACAAAAATGAAGATTTAGAATAAGTATATTTTTATACCAAACATTAAAAATATTTTCAACCCTTTCTTATTATAACAATGATATTAATAATTTTGTGTTTTTTAGTTTCGAACAACATCGCAATTATGCGCGGAGCTGAGGAAGAATCGATTGTTGTATTGCTGAAATAAAAAGGCAATAATCGCGAAGAAGGAACGGATTTTCTTCTTTCAGTAAAAAAAAATGTTGCATCTTTCTATTCTGATTTAAACTGAATGAAGGAATCTTCAAGATGTCTAACCATCGTTAACAATTCCATCGTTCTCAAGCTCGTACGCGTTCCATCGCATTTTCTAGCTTTCTTTTCTTTTTTTTATCACCTTCCTTCTAAGTTAGATCATCAAGGAATGAAATCAGTGTCATTCACCTTTTTCCAAATGTGATTAATTACAATAACTCTAAGATGTGAGCTCTTGGAATTTTGCTCGATTTTAATACTCTGATCTTGCTCGGGTGGACCGATTTTTGAAATGCCCACTCCATGTTAAGACCTTGATCTTATTTGCATATTATCTGCAATATATCGAAATCAGATTTTTTTTTTTTTTTGACTTGATAACATGTTTCAACGTGGAACTTAAAATCTTACGTGGGATAAACGACGAAATCGTTTTAATTTCGAATGAATATAATGAATATTTTTAACCAAAATGACATTCTACCTAAGGTCAGAGTTAAAAAGAAAATTACATACATTTGTACCTAAAAAGATGTAATCTTTACACGTAAGTAAAAGTAAAATTAAAAGGAAAAGTGAATTAACAAATGTTTTCAATTTGAAATAAGTGTTAAGACTGTTCATCACCCCTGGTTTTATAATAGTTTACCCCAGCAATAAGTACAAGTATAATTTTTTATTGATTTTGATGAACAAGGTTACGTGTTAAAGATGAATGGAGGCAAAGCTTTATCCTTTTTTTAAATCGTGTTAAAAAATGGTGTTTTTTTTGTGAATAATTTACTATTCATAAAACTAAAAATCTTTTATGGAATGTAACAAACTAATATTTAAGCAATAGCACATTAACATAAACATTACATAGTTCGTAATACACGTTAAATGAAAAATACAATATTCTTAGGCGCTTTTTAAAAGCTATTGCTCCCATTATACAAGAAAATCATACAATGTCGCTTGTAATACAAATACTATCCATTGTGAATATCTTATTACTCATAAGATATATTCATCAGAACTCGTTATAACTTATGAACAATAATGTATCCATGTAAAATTAAGATAGTTTGCTATGAATTAGGATACAAAGCGTTTATTATAATTATATTGCATGAATAACATACCGAATTCTTCACTATTTTCATGACAGAAAAATATAACATATTGCACTTAAATATCCAAAATGTAATATAATGTTATAAACGTATATGAGAAAAAAACTCTATCCTAATGTAATAAATAAATGCACATAACCTAATTCAAAAAATAAAAAACGATTTACGATTAAATTTCCAAAGAAAAATTAATTACTCAATGCTTTTCTACAAATTAATTCCAACCAATCATCCGTATCGATTCGAACCTTTTCATTGTTCACAAGTGATTACAAAATCGGAGAAATTAAAAAATTCACTCATCACTTAAAAAAGTTCTGTGATAGCTGTATGACACGCCTGTTTTTTAGCTGAAAACAAAAATAAAAGTAATAATATCATCGTTATAATAAAAAGTTATAAAAATTATTCAGGAAATATATAAAAGATGAATTTTTACCTATAATGTAGAGTAAGCCATTATCAAAAAAATGACTATTATAAGTAATCTACTAATATAATTCTAAAAATAATATTTATAGAATTAAATGTATTGCAGTTCTTGTAAATCATCCCTGAAGGTAAGATATTAAAAAGAATATTATACAGAAGTATTAATCGTAAATAATATATAAAATGTTTCATTTAATCAAATTAATAAATGCTAAATAATAATTTTATAAGATGCCAAAATATGTAGCCATCGAAACATCGATTTTATCGTCCTGAATATCTTTTAAACACGACAATGTCTTAATTTGCGTTTGCGGCCTCATGAAAATCGCATGTTTAGCTATCAATATATAAAGTGGGTATATAGAAAAAATCTACAAATTACCTGAAATCAATAAGGACGATACGAAGGCGTGTCGAGCTAGTATCCATCGAACAAATATAGCGTTGCGCCTACCGCAAAAATAATAACGAATGAAACCATGACGTCAGCGTACTGAAAAGATAAAAATAGAATTAATTAAATGTTCTCTATAAATTAAATTAAAGGGTACAATGAAAAATAAATAACAATATTTGTCAACTATTGCTTACCAGACGTTACAATTATAAGATTATTTCTAAGTAGATCGCTATGAAAGAAATAGAACGAAATCACGACTTCGACTTTCTAAAAGAAACACAAAAGAAGTAAACTGATGAATATATGAAAAAACATAGCTACAGTAAAAATATCAAAATGTTAAATATATCTTACTGCCACGAAACTGTCAAACACATTAGAACAACCAGCGAGATTTATTCTACGAATAATACATCCATGATTTAAGTAGTGTTCATTCATATTATCGACATAAAGTCTACCATTTTTATCTCATAACGATATTCGAAGAAATACAACATGACTTGTTAAAAAAGCGTAATCAAAAACGCGCTCACGTATATGGATTTTTTCATTAATTGTCCTCCATGTAAAATTATTTCACATCTAAAACAGATATAAAAAATTAAAAGGAAAGAGTAGAATGTCCTCATTACTTTATTATAAGCTCAATGAGAACAAAGAAACTAGCTAGCATAGACGAGAAAAAAAGTATGAGAGAAATCTCAATGATTTTCATGAAAGTGACTTTCAAAAGGATTGCGTCTAGATTATTTCAAACTGCACGATGAACACCGAGCATCAATCCTCCTTATCCTTATGATGTCATTTACTAATCATACATCGACGATAAAAGTTGAAAGAATCTATCATTAAATTCACTAATGCAAAGTTGAATATATATATAAATATATATATATATACAACACACTCAATAAAAAATACATAACAAAAAGAAAAATATATTCTTATTGCAAACTAAAAGGAGTTTCTATAAAAGGACATTGTAAATAAAAAAAAGAAGAATGGAGAGACAAATTTAGAGATATCAATTCTACTCGACTGTCATCAAAAAAATCTTGCACATTTCTAACTACATACCACATTGTACTATTAACGATAACGAATAAAATCACGACGCCAACGTTCTGAAAAGATAAAAATAGAATTAATGGAATGTTTTCGTAAAGGGTACAGTAACAATAACAATATTTATCAACTATTGCTTACCATGTGTCGTCATGAGTCCAATACCATTTCTTATTGTAGATAAGTAAAATTGATGACGAAATTCCGGACGTCGTATCTCTTCCATTCTATCATCAAAAATAATGATTGCTTATATCTTTATGTTAGGTTAACGAATGCAATAACTTATCTTTCGCAGTTGAACGTGATCGATGTTTAGATTTACATATGAATTAGTTCTAGCTGGACATATTAATAAATAATTTCAATCCAATAAATACTTTATTTAAACTTTTTAATAACAGTCACTCTTTTCTTCTCCTTTGTCTATTTCGTCGTTTCTCTAGTTATTAATTCGCCAATTGCGACATAACCAAACTTTTCGCCACAGGGAGGCCAACGTTAGAATTCTTAACAAGGTATGGATGTGTCTAAAACCTCTATTCTTTTGCACAATGATCATCCGGCCTTATGATGATGTAAAAGGATGCACACAAAAATAGTATCGCTAATGTAATATAATATAATTATATTTATAAAATACAATTCCTGTATATTAATGCAAAATATATTATTGAAAGATATATTATTGAAGGTTATATTATTCTAAAGTATTAATGATAGATAATATCTAAAATTTATCATCTTTTATTAATCGAATTAATAAAAGCTAAATTATTTTGAAATATATCAGAGTATGCAGCCATTATGCTACATATCGATATTCCAGGGCAATTTCGTGTCTAATAATAAATTTGATGTGATGTAAAATTGCTACGTGTATATATCTATATATAATTATCTTCTCTGTTTCTTCACTTTTTTTCCCAACACGTATGATTTTTGAAAGTCTGAAAAATCTAAGATTATTTAATAGAATATAAAATTAATTGCATGTGTGTATGTGAGCATTATACGTGACATATAATGGGTGTATGAGTGTACATATGAAAATTAATGGCAAATTATTAATTGTTATATCGTTAAAAAATGAAAGAAACATCGATACTGCAAAAATAAGACAAGATAATTTGAAATAGAAAGCGTCCTTAGACGACACCGATTTTATTTTCGTGGATATTTTCTAAATGAAACGATGCCATAACTGTGATATGCAGTAACTTAAACAATTAATCAGATGTTCGAAAAAAATATATCGCAATACACCGTTCCCTGTATCATATTTGAAACTATTGATATATTTTCGGAAATGTGAACATTGCGTGAGTATTTTACGTTAATTTAAACCTCTGTTATCGTACAAAGCTCTGTTGACATGTACTATGAATTATATTCAAAGCATCATTTGATTTATTATTTGAATTAAGCTCAAGTGTGAACAATTCTAATATTTTTGGCATTCCTTAGTACAGCTGTAATTATTGGTAAGTCACAACATTCAAAAATACCTTTATGATAAAATAATAAATAAAAATAAATATTTTTAGTCATATTTCATAATGAGACCAATCAGTGTAAGTAAAATATTAGAAATTAAAGAATCGTTAATATCTGAGATCTCTTAACGTGAGGTTTCTAAAAAAATACAGTACTCTGTTGGCATTGTATCTACAATACGTCAAACTTTAACAGAAAATGAAAATCAAAGTTACTATAAAGCGATCATACGGTTAATATGTAACAGTAACATTGATAATACTAAGTCAAAAATTTGATCAAGTATATAATTTGTTAATTTCATTTAAATTTGTTTAAAAAGTGTAACATATTTAAGTTAATTGTATTTTATATGAACTATTAAAGTTATATATGTATTATAATAATTATTTTGTTACATATCTTATTAACATTTGTTTAATTAAATAAATATTCAAACATTGTGGGAATATCTATACATACACACGTTTATATATATAAATACACTTAATCTTATTCTATATTAATAATGTGCATAAATTTTGTTTGATTCTTATTTATCATATTAAAATAATCTGTCAATTTAGACACTACCGTGCAGCTTCTTTTGCTGTTCTTCGTATACAATGTATACATGCAAGTTTATCTTCTATTTTAATTAAATTTTAACTAATATAAAAAGTTAGATATTAATTCTAACGAACTGCATATCAAATACACAGTTCCCACATTATATGTGTATATACACTCATATATATATATATATATATATATATATATATATATATATATATATATATATTACATTTATATACATTTATATACATAAATACACATAATTTTATTCTATATTAATAATATTCTATATTAATAACTTGGACACATTCAATAGCAAAAATCGATATTACTTATGATATATCATAAATAATACAAGTACTATCGAGTTAATGGCTGCATTTAAATTCAATCAAAATTTACTATGTTCTATAATAATCTTTTCTATCTTTTCATATTGTTCATTTTTCTTGCCTCAATAGAGATATAGATTATTTTATTATTTAATGTATTCATCATTTTCTCTCTCTCTCTCTCTCTCTCTCTCTCTCTCTCTCTCTCTCTCTCTCTCTCTCTCTCTCTCTTTCTTTCTCTCGCTTTATCGTTGAAATTCCAAGTTCAGTACTCTCCGAAAATCTTCGAGATTAAGCAGAAAATATTTAACGTTCAATTATATGATTATTGAGAGGAAGCTCGAACCATCTATGTGGATTTCTTTTTCTCTCTTATGCCCTTTTATGTAAAATAATTGATTATGTAATATAATTGAAATTCATTGAAGTTAACGCTATACCAATTTTTTTTTGCTCATTAAAAGCTTAATAAGCTATTTATTTTTCATTATTCTTAAGTTACGGTTCTTCACAATATAATACTTTTTAAAATTTTATTTTTAAATAAATAAATAAAACGTAACTTACAAATCTTATCTAAAATTTTATAGAAATGCTTTAAGGAAGATAAAAGAATATACAGGTTTATAGATAAGTATGACGCTACAATTTCTAAAGCATTGTACAATGAAATCTTTTCTAATTGTGATTTACAGAGTATTATAATTTAATTACAGCTTTATTAAAAGATATAACTATATTAAAAGATTAAAAGATATGTAGAAAGAGAAAAAGAGAGAGAGAGAGAGAGAGAGAGAGAGAGAGAATCTGTCATTATGTGTTGTAAAAGGAATTCTGTCACTCGATGCGAACAATATAATATACAATCTTTTCTTATGTATATAATGACACAGATTTTTTATATATTACTGATTATATAAATTATTTTCTAGGATTTTTTTTCAGAGGTAAAGTTTGATCATTGACTCCTTCAGAAGAGGAATTCATTTTATTCCATGGTTGTTCTTCACCTGATCCAAAGATACTGTAAACGAGTATTTCGATTATATAAAGTCCCACAGTTACAAAGAATATAATTCGCCATGCCTCTACTGTTTGCTGTAAACAAAAAAACGTTCCAATATCATATATGGTGAAAATATTAATATCTTAATATCTTATTGTTACTTACATTTCCATGGGTCAATTTTCCAACAAAAATAGGAACTATAAAGCCTGGTATAGTAGCGATACAATTTGTTATAGCAACTAATGTACCGGCAAAATTTGGCGCAATATCTATGTGATTAGATAGGAAGCCACAATACATTCCACCGATACAAGTAACACCTATAGTCATCAATACTACTGCTAAAGCACGATTACATCCAACATAAGATACCCCAATTAGACAAATCATTGGAACAAACGATGCTAAAAAATAAAAGAGAACATATTTAAATCCTGTTTTTTTTTTAATTTTAAAAATGAAACAAATACAGATATTACAAAACTAAGATAAATCTTACCGAATAAAGTTCCTATCTTCCTTGACATGGTTACTGTTATTAAATTCTTATCTTGCATAATAGCCAATACTTTACTGAGAGTCATAGTAAAAATCCACATACATAAGAACGGCATTGCGGATAAACCAGCGTTCTACATGAATACAAAGAAATTATTAATAGAAGAAACATGTTATACATGTAGGTATATGAAGTATATTGATTCGCTTACCGAACTCATATTGAATTTTAATATTTGACTCATGTAAGTTGGTAATTCAATGAGTAACATGTACCATCCAAAATTGCTACAAAAATGTGCTATCAAGATTGCCAAAAAGGGAGTAGACCTTAATAGTTGTCCCCATGGTACTAGTAATTTCTAACAATGAAATATTATTTATTATCATTCTCTATGATTCTCCTGCTAAAGTTTTGAAATATTTATACTAGTTACCTCTTTGTGACCGCTAATGTTTTTAGTATGGCCCAAAGATTCCATGATGTAATTCTTTTCCTCCTCGCTGATAAATCTCGTTTGTTCTTCCGGAGAGTCTTCGATTATCAACCACCAAGCAGTACACCAAATTAAACATAATAGACCTTCGATATAGAAGATCCATACCCAGCCAAGATTTGCGGCCAGTATTCCCGATAATAGAATGGAGATCACGGTACCAAGAGCAGTACCTAAAATCGAAAGATTATAATGTCATCTAATATTATTTTTCTATTCAAAGTGTTATTTATATTATATAAGTGTTAATTATATTGATCTACGGTTATACTTACCAGCATAAACGATCGATGCGAGAACACTTCGTTCATTCGGTGGAGCCCATTTGGCGATCATTACATGCATAGCCGGAAACGTTACGCCCTGTGTAAAATAATAATAAATACTGTCAGATGAGGATATCTTTTAATATTTCTTTGAGATATTCCTACGTCAACAAAATGACTACTAACCCCACCGAGGCCTTGAATGAATCTCATTATAATAAATAATGAGTAGTGTACATTCGCTGCAATAGGCGATAGTATCGATGCTGCGACGTTCAACAAAACGGATCCGTTCATTACCCATTTAGCTGATAACAGTTCTGACATTCTGCCACCTGGTAATAAGGATACCATATAGCCCCAAAAATAAGCGGATAAAATAAGACCTTGAAGAGGTTCGTCCCATACAAAAGGGCCATCCTGCAAAATAATTTATTCTATCACGTACGTACTCGTTTAGACAGCCAAAACCATTAATGTTTCAAGCATAATGTCTTTATCGAAGTTACCAATATATTTAATATTTAAACGATATGGTATTCTAAAAGAGGCGAAAATTTATTTTCGAATGTATCTAATCTCTTGAAAAATATTGTATTTATTACTGACCAACTTTCTTTGATAAACTTGTCTCTTTTTTTGAAGAGACTTTATTCTCTAAGACTGACCTCACAGAGATCATACCTTATCGCTGGAGGTATGTTTGATAAGCCAAAGAGAAGGAAGATTGATTACCTCGGTAGAAGATACTGTTGTGTTTGAAATTGCATCATCTCGACAAGCTTCCGTTATTTTTAAACTTGCATTTTCACTTTTTAATTCATCGTGCATCGATGAAAGTCGTACGGCTGTATGATTCACCATCGCGACGATAGCTACGCTGACATTAACTTTAAAACCATATATAATAGCCAAACCGATGGATCCAAGTATGGCCATTAAATATCGGACTGGAAATAGTGGGCCATGTCGGCCTGTAAATAAAATTCCCCGTTATTAAACTCTTCTTATCCTCCTATAACAATTTTTTCTCGTTGCAATTAGAATAGATCTAACAGACCCAACTCAATTCTAATTCAAATTTACAAGTTTATTGAATCAAAAAAAAAAAAAAAAAAGGAAAAAAAACTTTGGGATAAGACATTTAATCGATTTAATCGATAATTAACAAATATGTAGTTTCCAACTAGCAGTTAATTGAAATTTTTCACTTCTTTTAGAAAAAAGTAATATGAAATTTTTCCAAGCTTACGTGACATACAATGTGTCGTCATATTCATTTTACAATGCCAAATATATCATATGGTCTGGAATTAAAAATCAACATGGTTCAAGAGGACACGATTGATACCATTTGGTAATCAGGTCAGTGCGTAAGCCTGTTAAACTTTTATGTATAAATATATAGAGATATTTTATTGTTTTGAATGATTTACATACTACTCGTAATCTTTAGTTTCAATATTTTCTTTAAAATACTAGCTAACAATATTGCGTCAGCTATCTCGTACAAAGAGTGCAAGAGTATAAAGCAAAGTGTTTTCAACGTTGATAAATTTAAATCTTTTATCGTATAAATGATATTCCCAGATCTTGTGTAAAACAAGCTGGTTAAACTATATTCTGTATTAAATTAAAAAGGAAAATTTGTTTACTCTTTTTTATATTTTATATAAATTATATGTGGATTAAACGATTATTCTCATTTACAGTTAATAATATACATCCTCGAACGAAAACTTGAAAGAAAAGGTAGATATTAACAAACGAAATTTATTTCATTATTGATTGCACGATATCATCCAATCGGTAAAAAATTTTGATTTATACAACATAATAATGCGGATATGGATCGTAATAAAATATTTAAATTCAAATGCATCTTTTCAATGTCACTTCGCAATATGACGAATTCATTTATTCCGTATGAAGGGATGCGTCAAGGTCAAAAGGACGTATGAGGCGCACGATTCAAAGGCAATCGACCGTCATAAACTACTTATTTCGTTTTGATTAACGTTATGCGAAAATAAAGACAAAATTATACATTCTTCGAAGGAAGTAAATGAAAATGGAAATGCAACTGGTAGGTGACACTATGTTAATAGAGAATAAGAAGATATAAAAAAAAAGAAAAAAAAAAAGTAATGAACACACCTGTAGAATTGTTTTCCTTTGCCATGTATAAAGTCAGGATCTTCTCTTTTATCTTTTCGTGATTAGACTCCAAAAAAGTTCTATTAGAAAAAAGTGTTCAAATAATTGTTTTTTCTCTAAACAACAGAAAGATGATTTAACACGGGGTGCGATATATCAAATGATAAACGTACCATACGCGTTGAAAAAGTATTCCTTCGTTTTTTTTTTCTCTCTCTCTCTCTTTCTCTCTCTATCTATCTATCTATCTATCTTTTATATTCTATAAGCTGATGAAATTAAATTTCACTGGTGTAATACTGAAGACCGATTGTAAGTATTGCGCGGCACCAAAGCACACTGAGGTAAGCCGAGATCTTCCCATAGGCTTTTCCGAAGGATCCCGAGGCATTGCCCCTCTTCTATAAATGCCGGTTCATCCACGCAACCAAACGTACCCACACAAATAAACGTGACGCTCTTGCGTAAAGAAAGTGATGAGTGGCGACGTGCGCGTTTGCGCGTCCGTCCGAGCCTGAGACTATTAGGCTTTCGAATGAATGCGATCACCGTGTATAAATATTTATTTTTAGGATAAAAATATATTTTTATAAGCGTTTATTTTATCGCAGGTATGCATCTTTTGAAATGAAGATTAGTTAATAATAATTTTATATCAACACACGGTATAAGATAATCCGTTTAAGTTTATAAAAAGAAACAAATGCTTGTCTTTATAGCTTATTTTAGATATATCATATTGATAGATTTACAAGACGGTTTGTAAATTGTCGGCAAATAATGGGGATGTCACTTACGTTAAATTTTGATTATGAAAAAAAGACGTGATTTTCTTAGCATCTTTTAATTAAATCAAAATCGTAGTTGCGAAACGGTAATACTGAAGTATATGTAGAAAAACATATAAAAATGGAGCCGGTAAACGAAAACAAGCTCGATGAGATTTATGCGTGGATAGATCAGATTACATTTTCAAGACCGAAGAAAAATATATCGAGAGATTTTTCGGACGGAGGTATAATATCGTGACACTTTTTTGATTTATAAATAAATATTTATATGTTTTAAATTTTGTAGTATTTATGGCCGAATTATTAAAACGATATTATCCCAAGCACGTTGACGTGCACAATTATGTGCCTGGCAATAGTGTAGCAAAGAAGATTGATAATTGGAACATATTAAATAGAAAGGTTCTTTCTAAAATTGATATGAAACTTGGAAAAGATGTGATCAATCAATTGGCAAATTCACAATTAGGCATTATTGAGAAGGTTTTGATAGACGTGCGAGCGAAAATTTTAAAAGACTGTAATGCAGATGGAGATTCATTATATTCTGATTATGAAGAAAATGGAAGAGGTGGTAAGTAAAAAAAAAAGAAAAACACTGATCCAATAACATAGTGATGTTTGTCATTTCATATTTAATTAACTAGAAAACGCTAAACCTATTTTAAATCCTGAAGAAATTGTTAATAGAACAGTACCACGTCATACTTTCATAAAACTTAAGCAAGAATTGCAAGAAAGGAATGAAACTATTAACGCACTTCATCAAAAAATTTCACACTTGGAAAGTTTGATCAAATTAAAGGATCAAAGAATAGTAGATCTTACGGCACAAATTACAAGACCAATGGCACATACATAGATTTTTTGTATTAATGTTGCAAACTATGAGATTATTAAAATATGAATGAATTCTTGAAACATTTATGAAAAGAAATATTATATTTCAATTGCAGCAAGCATATAGTTTATATGCTTCATACATATTTTATATCTATTTTAGCACATGAAAGTTACACGAATGTTACCTGGTAAAAAGTTTGTCAGAGAAAAAACCTTTTTCTTATCTTGCCTATGCTTCTTCTTGAATACAAATAAAAAAGTTAATGTATCTTTTACATGGGTGCTCTCATGCTAGGCGGAGATACTAAAATGACACCATCACCACGGATAAATAGCATAGATATATTTCTTTTTGTAGTACGGTAAACTTCTTCATATGTTTCTTCATCAATTTCTACAGTTGTAACAGTTTCTTCCGCTTCACCTAATACCATATTCAAGTGTTGATCATAAGCCTGAAAGAAAAAAAATATTAATCATTTATTAAAATATTTTTTAATTAGAAATCTAAAGACATGAATAAAACCTACATGTAAACGTCCTCGTAATTCTCTTTCGTTTCTCATTTTCACGTAAATTCGTTCGTCCAAACTTAATCTTATTAAATCCAATGGTTCTTTCACATTTATTGCTGGAACCTAATCATCAAAAAGACGGAAAAATGTATTAACGAGCAAATACAACGTTAAAATGATTTTTAGGTTAGTTTATTATGTTATGAATAAAGGTTACCTGTTCCGATTCATCAGCCATAGTAACGTATTATTTATAAAATTTAACGAAAATGTCTTAATTTAATATTATTAAATAATGTATAATTAAATCTTTCTCTATCCTTCACTTTATCTAAGATAGCTATTAAAACCTAACCCATCCCCAAACGTAATGCGGGAAAATAACAGAGAGCTGATATTTTTATTCAGAATAGTAGTAGTGCAGTTATAAAAAAAATATATAGCTTTTTCTTTTAATCTTTATATTATATCTCTTTTTTAACTTTTATATTATACTGCTGTTTAAACAGAAAAAATACGAACATAGAAAAAAAGTTAAAATGATTTGTATCAATAAGAAAGTATAAAGTACAAATAATGTTGTTTGAAAATACTTTATTAGCGCGGGTCAAAATGGCGGTAGTTAATTTATGTCGATAACTACGTAAATATGTAGTTAATAATAAAAAGTTACAAAGAGAAATAATTATAAATAAAAGAATAAAAAATATTTAAATAAATGCTGCTAGAATATTTAATTATTTCAATGGAAGTTGAATTATTATATTTTACTTGAAATAAATTTCAAAAAGACATTTCCTATAATAGGCTACACTTTATACATCCATGCGTGAAATCATCGCACGCGAACATGTATGAGTAATGATTCAATTCCCCGAAAGTTTAGGTAATAGTAAAATACAATATTAGATAGAAACTTTACTAGTTTCGGTTTTCCATGTAATTTGTATCAAGTATATAAGTAAAGATCTCTCTGAAGATTAGTATAAGTGCATTATTTACATGCATTTAAATGTATACATATTCAACATTTCTAAATATGCAACAAAGAATGAAAATATATTATTTACCTCAATATATAACAATTCAAAAAACATATTGTTCAAAAACAACTTACATATTTCGATTTATTCTACGTCAGGTATTATATGGTGAAGTTCAATGTTACAGAAGGTCAAGATATAATATTACTTATAGCTGCTATAAATTTGGGATGCATAAGTATTTATCTTTCTCTCTCTCTCTCTTTCTCTCTTTCTCTCTCTCTCTCTCTCTCTCTCACGCGCGCGCGCGAGTCTTTAAAGTATGCCGCCGTTTGTAAGATCATAAATAACGTTGGAATAAATCAGCACATTAATTCAACGCTCGTCCGCTCAACCTACGATCATCGTTTGAACAATTTTGTAAATTCACCTGTAAATCCTGCTAGAACGTATGCGTAGTACAAATATAAAAGTATATACGTAGATACTTACATACATAGACGCGCGATTGCACACGTACGTTCATCGTTTTCATAAATATAAAATACAAAAGAAAAAAAAAAAATGAAAAAAAGAAAAAAAAAACAAGAGAAGCAGCAGAGAAGTAGCTGATGAGAAGCGGTGGTATCCCATTGTCGTTGCGTCAGCTAAGGCGAACAGAGATGTCTGGTGATTGGCCAATTACGAATAGTGGGAAATCCCAGTTGATACCTGCTCTTCCGTGCTGAATGTCTTGCGTTGTCGTGTGCGCGCGCGAGCACCAGCGCATGCACGAGCATGTACTGACGTTTCAGAGTTCTCGCGTCACCATCGACCTCAAGCTTTACCCTGAAGGAACGTAGACGATCGGACGACAATTAGTAACGCGCGAAACGCCATTCACGTTGCACGTTTCGTTGCACGTATATAACTTTCGATTCGAATTTGTGACTTTTCTTCTCCTTCCTCGTTTCTTCTTTTTTCTTTTTCCTTATTTTTTCTATCCTTTTCTTTTCTTTAACCGTCTAAATATATCTGTCCATGATTTATGAGAACACGGTTTCTTTGTAAAAACGACACAACTGATACAACGTCGACGACGTTTGCAATACTTATGTTAATTAACAGGAACGATTTATTTTCTTGCGATAGTCGTACGAGTTTGAATAGTTGCGCGTGGCGCGAAACGACGCACGATTCCAAATACATACGTATATGTGATCGCGTTTGTACGAAAGATCTACATAAAAAAATTTAGAGCACATCTCAGAAAGGGATGAATTCCTTTGATAACTATGACAGGACGAATCTGTCGGAGGTCAGTATCGTGAGTCAAAGTGTTGTCAAAGTGTATTGACTTTTGCGATTGAATCTCCATTCTTTTTCTTTTCTTTTTACTTTGGCGCGGCGGGTAAAAGAGATGAACATTTCGTGCTTCATTTTTCAGGTTTGTTCCTCGGTAATAAACTTGAACGATGAAAATGAAAATAACGATCATTTCTTGTGGAACATGGATACTCCAGTTAACAAAAAAGATGGCTCGATTTATAATTCGTACGAACCTAAACGAAAAAGATGTTTCCTCGGTAAAGTGTTAAATTATTATTAATAAACAGTCGATGAGAGAACACGAAGTGATAATTTTAATCGCGATTAGGTGAAAACGAGGATATCGATGGAACCGGCTGGTGCGGGAAACCGATCAAAAGTTGGTGCCAAGAGGAAACGATAAGTTGGTTAATGTCAGCCGCATCTTCTATAGGACTACCATATAGATCTATCCAGCAGAGTCTTGCGGTTTCCGGGGAACAACTTGCTACGATGACACGCAATGATTTCCTCTTTCACGATCCGATCTATGGGGATAAATTATATTGTCATCTTCATTCTCAACATATTTCGAATTCACGTACGTTCGTTACGCACATTGACCTTGTATCAAATATAAATGTTTTTTAGTTACAAAAAAAAAAGAAAGAAAGGAACGAAAACTATCTTTGCTTCATTTTCTTTATTTTCTAGTTCCACCGTTCGAGGCTATACATTCGCATTCCGAGGACGATTTGGCTCAAATGTCATCGAGCGGTGTCTCTGGTAAATGATTATTAATTATTATTTTCGTAAATTTATATTACCGAATATTTTTCCCATTTGCTCTGCTTAAAGATCAAATATTTATTCGTAGATACTGAATCAGATAATTGTATGAAAATTACGATGAAACGACCACCGGGAAGGCCAAAAATGTTAAAGCCGAAGAAAAATGGTACGTTGTCGAAATTATTGCGATTGAAATACTATAGCGAAAAATGAAAAATTATTGTTTATTTGTAGTTACGGGTCAAGGAAAACTATGGGAGTTTATTCGGGATTTATTACGCAATCGAGAAACCTGTCCCAGCTTAATTTGTTGGGAGGATTATTCGCAAGCTAAATTTCGTTTTGTTAAGAGCGACGAAGTCGCGAAACGATGGGGTTCCCGAAAAGGAAATACAAAAATGACCTATGAAAAACTTAGTCGTGCCATGAGGTTATAATTATTTATTTTTTTATTCTTCTTTTTTCTTTTTTTGCGAAAAGACTTGTTTAAACCAAAATATTAATTTTCTTCTAGATACTATTACAAAAGTAAGATATTTCAACCCGTACTTGGTCGAAGATTGGTTTATCAGTTCGGTCCTAACGCAAAAGGATGGCAAACTGACAATCCTAATTTCCGATATTGACATAATTACGCATACAGAATTAATTTTAATTTCTAGAATATAAGAGCGAGCAAAATAAAAGCTTTTCTGCATACTTTTGTAATTGTGAAAATATTTAATATTTTTACAACGGTCGCGATACCTATTGTATCTATGTATAGAGTAAAGTTAAAGAAAAGAAATACTAATGCCACATTCGTCAGGATCGCGTCCGAGAAAGAGAGAGAGACAGAGAGAGAGAGAGAGAGAAGAATTTTGAAAGCAAATCATACAAGTAAGTATATTGTGTTGCATTTTATAGGCATTACATCTAATTTTTACATCCATATCGTTTAATTGCTTAATTTCAAGTTGTTGGTAATCAGTCTTGGTTAGTTATTTATTATAATTTATTATATACGTTTTCTGAGTCTTATCCGTAATATAATATATGCGACTGTATCGAGGACAATATACAAAATGATCAGTACAATCATACAAAACCAATAATCTACTTGTTTCATGCCGACAGCCATCATGAGTTGATTGGGCATGGCAAAATGACAATACACATCAGAGCAATGCATTTTTGGTCTATCGTACCTGAAATTTGATAAAAAAGATAAGAATTTCAATTGGAATTCTATTTCGACTGGATATTTATTTAGACTAACAAATATCTGTAATTACCCATAAATTGTCATCATTGTTCCTTCAAAACCATATTTGAGAAAAGATATATGGAATAACCAATGCAAATAAGGATGTGCATCGGTAAGGTGTACAAAAAATCCACTAAATATTGTAAACGGTAGGATGATAAGTGGTCCAAAGATCACACCGTTCTAAAAAGTTGACAACTTAACATTGATTATGGCAATCGGTGCTAATTATAAATATTAAGAAGCATATAAATGATCGATTCTGCACAAACCTGTACTGTTAAACCAGCACCGATGATGAAACCGATCGCTTGAGCTACCAAGGTAACGACGAAGCACATCAACACGTAAAGAATTAATCTTTTTGTTTCCAAAATTTGATTGCTCATGAAATATACTATTAACGTGTATATGCACGTTGCGGTGAGTTGTACTGGAAAATCGGCAAATTTGTTTGCCAAGTAGAACGATCGAAGCTTATACCAACGATTAAAATGTTCTCGCATAAGTATTGGCAACTCCAAAGGTACTACGTAATATACGTAATGAAAAGAAAAAAAAAAAAGAAGAAAAAAAAAAAAGAAAAAATATTCGTTAATATTCTTAGAGTCGATTAAACCTATACCTATACACATATATATTTAATACATATAGGAATATTTACAGTTACAAAGAAAGAAATAGAAAACGTGACTTACGCGTGATGAGCGTCGAGCTGAAGGCACTGAACATTAGAAACATCAGATTGAAGAAAAGTAAATTAAAATTATCTAAGACGTAAGTGGCGTCTTGTCCGATTCTGAAAAATATCGCACCGACAATCAGCGCGATAAAGAGATGCATCGATATCCGTGTAAGGATCAATATCTAATCGTATAAAAAACGAGAAAGAAGACATTTTTATCGTAACAACGTCGAAAGGAAGGGAAACAAGAGACGAGATAAACAACGAGATTACCTTGTCCCGTAATAATTTAATAGCATTTCTTCTAAGGAGAATATGAAACTGTTTCCAAAATCCTGTCGCATAATATGTTGTATGCTTGTACTCTACTTCGAAGGAAGGCACACGTATATTGGTCTGTTGTAACACTTTTGAGGAAGCCGACATGTGCGTGACGATTATCTCCTCAGCTTTGTTCAAACTTAAGTTCACCGACGACCTCCAAGCATTGCTTTTCCCATTCTGAACTGTTTCGACCAATTTCGAAAGATGATTGCCGTAATCGCCGTTACATATTTCTATTACTGAAACATAAATTTATAAGTAATCGCGAGCGTTATCTTAACTATTTTAACTCTACTACTTATAGATTATGGTTGTAAACTATAGATAAATACTTACTAAAATCCGCAGGATTATAATGTGTTGGACAATGTAAACCAAGACTGCTTAAATATGGCACTAAATTATGCGTTCCACCAGTGTAAACACAATATCCTCCAGCAATTATATAAAGATGATCTATCATATTGAAGAGCGACGCACTAGGCTGGTGTATCGTACAGATTATAGTTCGTCCTTCTAATGCTAATTGTTTTAAAAATCTGATGCATTGTTTCGACGTGACGCTGTCCAGTCCGCTGATATCAACCAAAAAAAAAAAAAAAAAAAAAAAAAAAAGAAAACGAAAACGGCAATAAAAATAACTCTCGAAACATAGTGTTAGTATCATAAGATGTATGCATAATGCATAGCATAACAATTATGCACTTAATATCGATTCTTCAGTAACATACCTCGTCGGCTCGTCGAGGAATATAATGGGCGGATTATTAATTAATTCTAAAGAAATGGCTAATCTCTTTTTCTGTCCTCCGCTGAGGGCGCCGATGCGAGTGTACCGCGTTTCTTTCAATCCCATCACAGACAAGATTTCCTCGATCTGTTGTAAATAATAATGGAGAAATCCAGAATCTTATCAATCGTATCAAGTAGACATCGTATACAAAGTGCATCCGACAAGACTCGTAATCTTAATTATTATTTAATCCTAATGACCTATAGCTCTGACCAAATATTTTATAATGATTTCTTTTAAACAAAAACAACGGTATTCAAGGTAGCAATTCTATTTCGATTATTTATTCTTTCTTTCCTTGTTTCTTTTTTTTTTTTTTTTTCATAAAAGAAAAAGTTGGGATAGACCTATACCCTGCGCAATCTTTCGCGAGGCTTCAAGGTAAGCTTGAGGTCGGCTGCAACAAGCATAGCTTCCTCCACCGTGAAAAAAGGCTGCATATTGTCGTCCTGCATAATATATGTCGAAGAACGCCTAAATTTGACGAGGTTCCTTTCTGTGCCATTCACGATCACACTTCCATCGAAGGACGACGTACTAAAATTTTTATTTAATGTAAGGTCAGTAAAGTATCTTACCAAGAAAAAGATAAAAGATTATCATTATTTTTTTCCTCTTGATATTATTATTATTATTATTATTATTATTATTATTATTATTATTATTATTATTATTATTATTATTATTATTATTATCCGTAAACATGGACTTATATCGCATATATATGATCGCGTCTCGCTTATCGACGATAGAAACGTGCACGTTACGATGTTGGTAACGTATCATATGAGAAAAATATTACTTAATCGAGGAGAGACTACGCGTGTTCTCGCTATGAACTTTCTCCATTGGCGTAGAATAATATGAAATTCCAAGGAGATCGGTATTAATATAGAGCCATTGGAAAGAAGAAAAAAAGTATTTAGTTATTATATAAAAATAAGATGGTGAAGCTTGATTTTCAACAATTTTTCAAGAAAACAATCTTTTACAATTATTTATTTTCATGCTTACTTACAAATGTATTAATAAGTGTGTGCGATGCGTGTGTGTGTGCACGCAAGAGTGAGAGAGAGAGAGAGAGAGAGAGAGAGAGAGAGAGAGAAAGAGAGAGATAGAGAGAGAGAGAGGAAGAAGGAAAAAAAGAGGTGTGTCGATACCTCTCGTAATTTGCATCCGTTCGCGAAGACTTGATCGTATGAAATAGCTTTCTATAGGTAATTTTTTTCCCCTACTTTTTTTCTTTTTCTTTTTAAATTACTGACATAAAACCTGCCAAGATATCCATGAGTGTAGTTTTTCCAGCGCCCGATGCTCCCATAATAGCCGTGAGTTCACCTGGTCTAAAATCGCCACTTATATTCCTTAATATTGTTTTTCTTTCTGAAACAACATGACAAATAATTGCTTTCGAATTTACGAGACTCTTCTCTGTCGCTCTATTTTAATTAATTTGTGTTACGTTACTTGTCAATCCTGGTGTTCTATGTGCACCATTTATAAAATATATCGGTTCTTGATAATACATATGTCATAATTTATAATTCGAAAATGACAGAAAACAATGCAAATCTTGTTTCGATCGTATATATAGGATATTCGAGTTTGAATATACATACTATTGATGTCAAGTTTATCGAAATCCTTAGTGTTGGGAAAAAATATTGAAAAAATGTTCCGTCGTTAAGATCGTTTTCATTCGAAAGAGATATTTTCACTTGAAATATTATATATATATATTATATATATATATATATATATATATATATATATATACATAATATTTTGCTAGCATATAATTTTTTTTTGCTATAATTTCCGTCATATTTGTAAGAGGTCCATCAAGACAATTCACTTGGTATATCGTTCAGAGAATGAAACAAGATTATTGATTCTTATCGCTCATTATCAAGCATTTCTACTGATAGAAGTGTAACTTTTTTCAGTCTGCTGAGTAATTAAGTTTAATACAGCACACGGATCTTTATTTTTGAAAAATGTATCGGAAATAAAAAGATTCTTTCTTTATACTTGATTACCTTCCGAGAATGTTGAGACTAAAAACTAATGAAAAATATATGAGAGCCCTTATATTAGTGACAGTACTATTTATCTATAACATTTGTTTTTTTATCGCTATATTTAATGAGTAGTCTCAATTAATGAAAAGTACTTGGCCATCTGGTTTCTGTCTGATTAGTTCATAGCAAAATATATGTAAACAGATAAGAAGGTAAATTGATAATGACAATATGTAATCTGGATTCTTCTAACATTAAAAAAGTTGGCCAAAGATATGATTATGCTTCTTATATATCTAGCACATGTAGCATATATATATATATGTATATATATATATATATATATATGTATATATATATATATATATGTATATATATATATATATATATAATACATATCTATATATATAATACATATCTAAGAGGACTAGAAGGCGATAATTTGCATTACTAATTTATTCATGAAGATAATAAATACGCAGCACCATCGTTGTCAATATATTATTATGATCAACTGACTTATAGCTTTAGAATTACTTTGTCCGATTTTATTCAACTTTTATTTTTTCTTCCGCACGATCTAGGCTCTCTAAGATTTATCTGACAATTTTTCATCTTGAAAACTTGAGAAGTCAGTCGAATGATGTTGGTGACTTTGTTTGCTCAGAAAAAAGATTTGATTTATTCATTTTGAGAGAGAGAGAGAGAGAGAGAGAAAGATAGAGAATTTAAACATGCAAGACATGACGATAGATGAAACTTCGTCTGATGACACAAGAAAACTCAATGAACGAGGACGAGCGTGCATTGAATTATTTTTTCCTTCAAGCAAGCTCTCCTTATTTATCTTATAGGCTTCATTTAATGTGAACAAATAAGGGACGATATAGACTCAAAAGGCTTTTGTTGATTAGCGAGAGAAAGAGAGAGAGAGAGAGAGAGAGAAATCGGTCATTGGCATTTTAATGAATATCTTTGCAGAAATAAGAGAGAGAGAGAAAGACTAGCAGGGTATGAACCGCAAGAGTACAACGACATTTCGACGAGGACACGAGTTCAGATATACGATAAGCAAGTTATTAATAGATAAGAGAAGACGGGACAAAGCAGCGTTTCGAGTTCAATAGGATCGCAAACTGTGTGTACATTTTCTCAATAAATTACAGAATTTTACTCTTTAACGATAGATAAGAACATTCACAAATAGAATAGCTTACTAATGATAAAAATTCAATCAATGAATCGTTTCGTGACAAGGATACCTGAACATAAGCTTTTATGCCATGTATATTTATATATTCATATGTACGTTTTTAATTATGCGCGTATATATAAAAAAGAGAATTTACCTCTCGCTAGGGCACTTTCGCGTCTATTATAAGAAATATCTTGAAAATTAAGAAAGAAAGGATCATCGATGCAAGCGATACTCAATTCTTTCCAAAGGCTCGTCGAATTAGTCGTTGAATTTGAGGTCGAATCGGCTATCTTCGAATCTACCGCCATTTTCCGGATCTTCTTCGAAAACAAACGAGAATCACTTTCACACGAGTCACGTGTCCATCTCGAGAATTCTTCGTTTTTCTCTTTGCTTTGTCGTCGTTATAGTTTTATGCTTGTCCGATCGCATGCGTATCTTTAACACGTTGGCATGACTAAACGTAATGCTGCTTTCCGCAATGCACGGAAACTGTTATCGCGCTCTGAACTTTTAAGAGCGCCTCCGCGCGTGTACAAAGTACGCACGCGTCTCTCCCTCTTTTGTTTCTCGCGCAAAGTCCTCACGCTATACCGTTCCGTTCTATTCCGTTACGCTCCCGCTCCAATTCGGTCAGTTTCGTTTCGTTTCATTCCGTTCCGTTCCGTTCCGTTCTGTTTTATTCCGTTCCATTTTCGTTCGGTTCCGTCCCGTTCCGTTCTGTTCGACACCGTTATTTTTTTATTTCTTTCTTAATCCACTCACTACCAACAAAACTTTTTTCTCTTATTGTTTGTGTCATTATCTTCAGCACCAAGGGAAACAATAATTTCCTATTGAGATTATTTTTTAAATATTTTTCTTTCCTCACGTTATTTCTCGAAATCTTTCAAAATTCCTTTTTTCATTATTTTCAAGAATGTAACTTGCATATTCGATATCTACGGAATAATTTAGAGCTGTATGATTGACAATTGATGAGAGAAAATTTGTTTGTTTTATTTGTATGTTTTATTTGTTTAATTTTATTTACTTGAAAAACGTTAAACAGCACTAATTTGGCACGGTATTGTGCCATACAAGGTACCTTTGAAATGTATCTTTTTAATACGATAATTCGTGTTGAATGAAATTTATGTTGGTAGAGTATAGAGAAAGGAAAAAATAAATACGATTGGCAAAGCACCGGATACGATGTTGGAAAGTAGTCAGACTGGTATCGATGTTATTCGAATTCACCGCTTGAAAGTGAATAAAAATAATTTAGCTAGCTGGATATGATGCATGATAAGAAAAAGAAAAAAAAATTTAATTATGAGAGAGTTATAAATGAAAAAAAAAAACAAAGAAATAAAAAAAAAACGAAACGATTATTAATCATATCACAGCTCACATTTCTTTATTATTGTCTTATTGTTCTAGATGTCTCTCTCTCTCTCTTTCTTTCTTTCTCTCTCTCTCTCTCTCTTCCTCCTATTCCCTCTCTCCCTCTCTATTATTCGTTCGTGTTTGTTTCGTTACGAAAGTATATGTATATATGTATGTATGCGCCAATCCACAATGTTGTAACATTTTGATCTCGATTCGATGCGATGATGCACTTTAAGTATGCCTTTATCAAAAACTCCAAAAAATACTTTACTTATTGTCTCAACTTATCGTTTGCTTCGTTAGATACGAGATAAAGAAAGAGAGATTTTATTGAATCACTTTGCAACAATCTGTAATATTTTCTATCGTGTATAATTAAATTAAATTAAGCAGGAACGAATTCAATTTATTCAAAAAATAATAAAATCTTGTGTTTCCATTCATTTTTTCGTTCTTGTAATAATATCCCGTGGAAAAATATCGGTAAAATATAATTTATTAATAATATTAATTAGTGTTTTTAAGAAAAATTGTAAGAATTGTTAAAAAATTTCTCAACGAACATAATGAGCGCCTGCTATAAACCATTATCACTGAGCAAATAATTCTTTGTATGCAATATATATATTATTTTATTGAAGGAAAAGTGCGTGCGTGACTAAATGAACATTTTTAAATTTGCCGCCCGTCGTGCATGCGCATTTCTAATGTCTAGCAACATCGCTCACTTCACGATGCATCATGTCGCGATGCAATGCCACCTTTATTGCCATCTACGACGCCGTCAGGTACAGCGGTAATTGTCAAAAACCTAAGAGTCTTTAAGAAAAATTTTATTTAATATGGTGTTTTAGTGTGTAGAAAGTGATTTTTCTCTGTTATCCACGTGTCATTTATTCTTCCATTATTCGGTGAATCTATACAATTTCATTTCAAGTAGAGAAAACTAAAGTATATAATCGACGTTCTTCTAACATCGACATATTCAAGAGGAAATATTGCTTTGATGATCTACCTTGAAATAAACGATCTCGTCGAGGGATCCATTGGGGATGTCGATCGATCTAATTATTTTTTTCAAATCTTAACTCTTCATTAATGGACTTCATATAAGAAATTAATACCAAAACGAAACAGGTATCATCCATTTTGTTTACGCACACCTCTCCCGTCTCACGTTTCATTCTGAAAACATTGAACCTAGTTCACACTTTGAATGCTATCGATGAAATTCTAATGAATTTCATTGTGTTTTGGTTACATGTACTTGCATATTTTATTTTTATGAGCTTACAACTATTCTATTATGTCATTTTCAACATTATGAACGAATTAGAGAAATTAATTTATAGTTTTCTCGTCTCATTTTTTAGCTGATCTATTGTTTTCACTTATATTTTTTTCAATCAATACAATTTTTATTTTAATATCACGTCCTCTCTATTCATCTTCTTCCATATAATAACTTGAATTTCAAACGTTGCATATCCTTTAATGCATTTAATATTGCTATGTATGATTTGCTAATTGATAATATTATTTAAAACTATTAAATTAAGTCGTGTGTTGTGTGCACGTGCACGTGTATATATATATATATATATATATATATATATACGCACACATACACGCACACACACATATCACAATTTGCATAATAGTTTTACTTTTTGTTTCAAGTTTTAATCTATGGCCTTTTGTATTTCAGATTTAAAAATTAAAGAACAATGGTCAACAACGCATCGCGGGGTGTACCCCGTATTCAAGTTTTTAGACCCACTTATGAGGAATTCAAAGATTTTACAAAGTATATAGAGTATATGGAAAGCAAAGGAGCTCATAAAGCTGGATTGGCTAAAGTTATTCCACCTCCTGAATGGATACCAAGAAAAAGTGGTTACGACCTGAATACCTTAGATCTTACGATTCCTGCACCTATATGCCAAGTTGTTACTGGAAAGCAAGGTCTTTATCAACAAATTAATATCCAAAAAAAGTCAATGACGGTCAAAGAATATAGCAAGTTAGCTAACTCTGATCGTTATAATACGCCTCGACATTTTGATTATGAAGATTTAGAGAGGAAATATTGGAAAAATATAACATACGTAGCTCCCATATATGGAGCAGATGTATCTGGTTCGTTAACTGATCCAGATGTAAAAGAATGGAATATCAATCATTTAGGGACGATATTGGATTACGTAAATAAAGATTATGGTATATCTATAGATGGCGTTAATACGGCGTATCTATACTTTGGAATGTGGAAAACTACATTCGCATGGCATACGGAAGATATGGATCTTTATTCGATTAATTATCTGCATTTTGGTGCACCAAAAACTTGGTACGCTATACCACCGGAGCATGGCCGCAGACTAGAGAGATTAGCCAGTGGTTTCTTTCCATCTAGTTATCAAAGCTGTCAAGCCTTTTTACGTCATAAAATGTCATTAATATCTCCACAAATATTAAGACAATATTCTATTCCGTGTAATAAGATAACGCAAGAAGCAGGCGAAATAATGATAACATTTCCTTATGGATATCATGCTGGTTTTAATCATGGTTTCAATTGTGCAGAGTCAACAAACTTTGCTGCACCCAGATGGGTAGAATATGGCAAACGAGCTACTCAATGCACATGCAGTAAAGATATGGTTAAAATATCAATGGATACATTTGTCAAGCGCTTTCAACCGGAAAGATACGAATTGTGGCTTCGCGGTGAAGACATTGGTCCTCATCCAGAGGATCCTAGACAAACGGCAGCGCCTATGCCCTCTCAGATGGATTTATTGTGTAGTAACAGCAGTAATGGACAGTTACCACAAAGTTATTTAAATGCTGCTCCTAAAAATAAGAGACATACCATTCATAAGAAGAAAAATATAATTGGCACCAATCCTGACGTTGATATGGCCGAATTAGTTAATCGTTCAGACATTCCGGCGGATTTAAAGAAAGCTTTACAAGATCTCGAATTTGAGGATGGTGACGATCAACCAGACGAACAACAATTGGAAGTATTGGAAGACATTTGGCTTAAGGCAGGTGAAATGGATGTCAATGAAGCAACTGTCTATGATGATGGCTATAATCGTAAAAAAGGTAGAAAAAGAAAGAAGAAGCAAAGTGGTAACGAAAAAGAGAAAAAGGATCAGAAGACAAAGAAAAATTCTGGCAAATTGATTAGTCCAAAAAGCACAGACGATATGCTTTTGATTAGATCAGAATCAGAATTGATTTCTGCAGGTTCTAATCAAGAATCAATTGATCAACAGAATTTATTAAATCAAGACAATTTACTTCAAACCAATATTAATGTCGCATCAGAAAGTAATAGTAATACATTGATCTCTCAATTGTCAAGCGATGGATCTAATTTATTGGAAACTACTAATAAATCGTCTCCTAAGAAAAGGAAAAAACATTCTAAGACTCCAGAACATAAGATAAAGCAGAAAAATACTTCTAAAAGTAAGCGTAAACATACAAACATACCTTTGTTTGTTCCTAATGAGCCGTTAGATGTTTCTGATGCTGATGTACAACGCAAGCTAATAGCAATGCCAAGTCTTAGCCCTCATAAAGCATCTACTATGAAAGATATTTCTAATAATCAAAGGAAAATTAACCTATTACCAGGAAATATTATTTCTGTTGGAAATGAATTTAGTATGACCACCATGAAGGATAAAACAGTAGTAAATATTACCAATAGTGGACAGATAATACATTCTTCTTACGAAGACGAAAAGCAAATTGATAGTCCTATAAACATTGATATGCAAGAGAAACAATGCTCTCTCATAAAGAATACCAAAAAGGCAAATACAAAGCTTATTTATAAATCAACATTCCCTAATATAAACATATTAAAAAATATTGCTGTACAAAATAAACAAAATGATGAAAGTGCAGGTATAAAACTTTTAAATGAGGATTCAAAATTATATACTCAAGATACCAAGATGATCAGTGGTACGTCTTACAAAAGTGTTGGAATGGTACAAACAGAAAGATGTATTACAAATTACACAAGGAAGGATATAATAAAGGCACCTAGACTGATGCATTTAGATCTGTCCAATACCAAAGTAATATCAAAAGTAGAAATCGATGATACCGTTAAAGTCGAGAAAGGGCTACATGTTGCTCCTAATTTGGTAATGTTATCCAAAGATGATGTCCAAGATACAAAGCAAGATACGAAGCGCATTATGTTTTTGCCAAATACATCATTTAACACTGATCCACCAATATTACAAAGTGAAGTTATTGACAAAGAGACAGTGATACAAAATCCTTCATCGACATTTACTATTCAAACTCAAGGTAATACAGGTATGTGTAATTATTTTCCAAAAAGTACAATTTTATCACAATCACTTTGTAAAAGTAATATCAGCGGAAAGAAAGGTGTAGAATTTAAATCAATTAATGATTCAAATAATAAAGAGATGACAAAAAATTTCTGGAAAATTCCATATAATAACAGTATTTTCTTATCAAATGACGAGTGTAATAGACCATTTAAATTATCTATAGCAAATACAAAAGGAGGAGGTGGCATATTGAATACTTGTACAAATATTCAAATAGGTCCCGCAACAACTGCAACCTTTACAACTAAGCTAAAAAAATTATCAGACTCAAATACAGTCTTACTAGCTGCACCTCCTCCTAATCCATTGACCTCACAATGCTCGAAGATTACTCTAAGTTCTCCGATTCAATTGAGCACAATGGAACCAAGTAAATCCACCTTACATAGTAATGATAATTCATCAACAAATTTTGCACCTTTAACGAGAATTTTACCATCGTCGGAACAAATAGTTTCAAAAAATTCTTTAATCATCCGAAAAATTGATAAAGATCAAGAAACTTGCAGAAAATCAATAAAACGTACAAGTGCAAAGTCATTGCTTAATTGTACAGCAAAAAAGATTGACGTATCACCTGATTTAGATACAAAACAAGCTAGTACAAGTGTATTGGTTGAGAAGGTCGAAGGTAATACGCCATATAGTTTAAATTATCATTTTAACAATTTACAAAATCAGCAGAGAGCTATTATGACACCTTTGATAAAGCAAGAGGACAAATACTTTAATGTGTCTAAATCTCAACGGCAAAGTATAGAAACAAATTCTAACAATAAATACTTGAAAATGCCAGAATTAAAACCTATTAAGTCACCCGTAGCCAGAAGGAAATCCAAAGAGAAGCTTAAAAAAGCTACAACAAGGAAAAAACAGCTTCTCCAATCGACAATTATATCGGAAGAAAAAAGTTCTTCCAGTTCACATCCGGCTTTAACTATACCTGGTCATATTTCTGATATGTTAAATCCAAATATTCCAAGCAATGACCTAATGAAAGCCTTCAATGATTATTGGAGTGCTCAAATTTCACATTGTGCAATTTGTGCAACTTTTGCTTCCACTCGTTGTGGAAATAGTCAGTTAATGCCACCTGATTGGAAATATTGTAAACCCACTATTCTACCTGAAAGTTCTCCAATATGGGTAAGAGAACATTATGTTTATTAAAGTTTAACTTTTAAGAGAAAGAAAATAATTACAATAATTATTTTAATAATATTCCTCTTTCACAGGTATCAGCAACACTTTTTGCTGTAAATTCAAAGGAACAAGCTATTGAATCGGAAAATGACAAACTATTGAGATGTCGTGAATGTCATGTAACAGTTCATGCTTCCTGTTATGGAATTACTATCTTGCCCACTGATGCATCAAATTGGGCATGCGATAAATGTAAGGCTGGTAAAACTGACGTGGTATGTATTATGGCATATATCTAATATTAAAAAAATAATATATAACTAATTATTAAGAGAGAACTATTATAAAAGTTAATTCTCCGTTTTATTTTTTTCTTATTAAACAGATGTGCTGTTTATGCCCTATGCGTGGAGGTGCTGTAAAACGTACGAGCGATGGCGGTTGGGCACACATTTTGTGTGCTCTGATATTACCAGGTGTAACGTTTAAAGATGCTATTAATAAAGATCCTATTAATGTATTGACAATTAGAACAGATATCTTAAAACAACAATGTTGTTATTGCGGGCACAGCGATGGCGCTTGCCTCAGTTGTTCCCAATGTAATAATTTGTTTCACCCTTCGTGTGGACTTGTGGCAGGTGCTACTTTTGTAATACCAGTATACAATAGTCAAGAACTGCAGGTGAGAAAATGAATTCTGATCGACTATTACTAATGTTATATTTATTCTTTAAGGTTAAACGTTTAATGTTAAATCTTTGATTGCAGGTGACTTGCCATGGCCATGACGAAGGTAAGGAAAAAATTCTTGTCATTCGTCAGGGCGAAACAGTATGGGCGAAACATCGGAATTCAAGATATTATAAAGCAAAAGTAGAGTCTATAAAAGATACACTTTTCTATATGGTCACTTTCAGTGACAACAGTTTTAGCGATGATTTATATCCTTTGGATATAATTGTAAGTTTTTTTACGAGATATTTATAAATTACCTTGATGGATTATTATATATACATACGAATAATTAACATATTAACGCGTATTATTATTCAGAATTATGATCCTGGAAAACCGCCTCAGATTGGTGCGGCTGTTACTGTTAATTGGACAGACGGTGAAGTGTACGATGGTACTTTTGAGGGCACTAATCATCAAATTATGTATACCGTGAGTATACCAGAAACAAAAATTTGCAGATTTCAAATCAAATGTAATTGCAATAAATAGTTATTCGCACGTGTTTTTGTTAACACGGAACATGTTATTTTTTTAGGTAATTTTTGAAGATGGTTCTCAACTTGCCTTAAAACGTAATGATATATATAGTTTACAAGAAGATATGCCAAAAAGGGTACGCTCACGTTTGGTAAGTTTAGTAGCATTATAATTATTTTATTGTATATATTTTTGTTTCAATTATTATATTTTGTTTTTTATTTTTTCGTTTTATATTATATTTTATTTTTAAATATTATTTTTTTTTCTTCTTTTTTTTTTCTTTCTTTTTTATTTTCTTTTCTTTCTTTCTTTCTTTCATTTTTTTTTTTTTTTTTTTTTTTTTTTTTTTAATTTCTTTTCTCCTAATTTTTATATTTGTATAATTTATTAAAGTCCGTTGCCACAGAAATGAAGCACAGGTATCATCTTTACGGCATAGAGGATGAGTCAAACGCGCAAAGGCACGCGAAACAAGTGAAAAATTGTGATTAAGGCACCAATGTGTATACTACCATAATGTAAATAACCGATAGATACAATAATGTTTCATCTCGTTTCTGTAAATATTAAATTAAAATAGTATCTGTATGATTCAGGATCCGTTCCAGATCCCGGGGCAATCTCATAATTGTCATATAATCTGATTATAGGGAAATTATCTCCATTATTTAAGAAAAATTATAAGAACACAGTTTTATACCGAAAAAAGGGAAAAGTTGATACAAAATTTATATTAACATTTACAATAAAATGCGATCTCTCACTAAGGTGCATGTTACGATGGCAATGATGAATATTTAGATTTTCCTTTTTATTATTCGTATTTTATACTTTGACAAATTATTAGAATTGATTTAAGAATTGTTTGTGAAAATGAGAAAGAAAGCCCCAAGAGTTTATGGATGATCGGTGTGTGGAAGCGTGTGCACTTGTGTATATCTCTATCTGTATATGTATGCGTGAGAACTCTTAAAATGGCTAAAAAAAATTGAATATCGCGAACTAGTAGTAGACACAATATTGTAAAATATGCACTAACATGTTCACGCTCGTTTGTTCGGTTAAATCTCTTTCAGAATTTAAACGAAACTTTGTTCTCGATCAATTTTTCTTTACAGTTTTCATACACACTCACTCATACAGAGGGAGAGATAAGGTACTTTTACATATATATATATATATATATATATATATATATATATATATATATATATATACTTATATATATATATATACTTATATATATATACACGATTGGTTTCCTCCTCTTAGAAGCCTTGAAAAAAGCCTTTTGGATGTTAAAATATATCTTGTCATTATGTTATTTTATTATATCCCGAAGAAATGTATTAGATATTTCTTTTCTCATATCTTTTCTCATTTTTTCCATTTTTTATCTTAATATTTGACGTTTTATGCGAGTATTGTTAGAAGATATTTACTTTAATCCGTTTCAATTAGAATTTGTATTAGTTCAAATTACTTTTAGTCAAAACATTTATTTAAAAATTTGTTTGTTTCTTACCTGTTTTTTATTCTTTTTTTTTTTTCTTTTTTTTTTCTTTTTTTCTTTTTTTTCCATTATTTCGATTAAGAAAGCAAAAAATTATGATGTTCATAATACAAATGAATATTTTCTATTTGCAGTATAAATTAATAGTCGATTAAATTAATATGTGTAAACATTTTTAAACAGACCTTTCACGATTATTAGATTTTCTATTGCATACTATACGAATCATTTCATTATGAAAATTATATTAGCAATTTCTCATGTTTAAATGTTTAAATTTAATTAAAGAGATATTGTATATTTTTTAAAAAGTCATTGTAAACAAAAGCTTTATCATCGTATGCGTACGAGACAAATTATTCATGTTTAGTTTAATAATAATCATGACAAAACACATTTTTTTTTGTTTTTTTTTTCTGTTTTCTTCTTCTTTATAAACAGCTTCCAATAATATTCATAAAGCGTTCATATTTACAGACAATTGCGACTAAAGATTGTTAATAAGGTTATATAGTTTTCTGTCAATGTGTTGTCAGATTTTATCCAAGTTCCTTTTTAAATAAAAAAGAGAATAGTAGTGTGTGTGTGTATACGTGTATATATACATATATATATATATATACGTATATATATATATATATATATATATATATATATATATATATATATATATGTATAAAAACACATATATAGTTCTTATGCCTATCACGGCAGTATTTTCTAGTCGTTATTATCATTTCCTCTGCTGTTTAAATATATATATGTTTTTAAAGAAGAAGCGTTCACTATAAATAAATTTTCAAGACTACTATATTTCTAATTTAATTTCATTAATAATACGTTAATTTTCCTTACACAAATAATAAAATAAGATTATTATATTATTTTCGATTAGAAATTCTTGATATCGAATATTAATAATAGGCATTTGAAATTAAATGTATAGTATTATAAATCATAGAAAATATAAATACAATATAAATCAAATATCTTGTTAAAACGTGAATTAAAATGTATATGTGTAGATCCATTGTTCAAAGTAAGATATATCAAGTAGAGAATATTCTTCAACTATATATCTACTATATATCTAAAATTGTTCAAAATTATTCATCGAACAAATTGATCCCTTTAGAATATCTATTATTTTTCTCTTTTCTTTTTTCATTTCTTTGTTATTTTTTTTGTCACAAAAAAATCATACTGGTTATTGGCAATGAGTATTTCATTAAAATTAAATGAATTTGATTGAATAAAGTATGATAATTGAAATGAGGTGATTTCGTTACCTTTTTTTCAAAAATTATAGATACAAACTTGGATAAATCAATTTTTTAAAGGGAGCATATTTTTTATGCATATTTATTCGAGAATATCATATTACGATATTATTCTTCTATAAAAATCGTTCATTTGGCATGAACTCGAAAGAATTCTCTTAAATATACTGCCTTTTTTTTGTGAAATATGGAAAATTAATAATATGAAAAGAAAAAGAATCATTTTTTTTATTAATGATCTGTATGTATCTTTTAATCTTTTTTTACAAATTAAAAATTAAAAATTAAAAATCAAATTCATATTTTCTTTGTTTTGATTTTATTTACAAAGATATAACAATGCTATTTCAAAAGTAAATTTCCACATTTTATTGTTCACATTCGTAAAGTTTCTAATCATATTAAAAAAATATTATTATAATATTACAGTGCTATTCTTGAGATTTTAAAATTCTGATATATTTTCAAATAGATACGCTACGATATAATACGTGTAACATATGTACATCTGTTCGTTAATATATACATTAACAATGATTTACTCCTTTTTGCATAAATATAATATTAAAAAAAAAAAAAAAAAAAAAAAAAAAAAAAAAAAAAAAAAAAAAGAAAAAAAAGAAAAAAAAAAAAGAAAAAGAAAGAAAAAAAAATTTCACGGACGTATCACATTATACTTTATCACTTTATTTTCTAACCAAAGGAGTAAACAAAAAAATATATATATATACTTCAAGATGATTTTTAAAGCTTCATCAAAAATAATAAAAATAAATTATATACGAAGATTGTATCTTTTATAAAATACTAAATATACATAAGGGGCAAAGATAATCATATTCCATTATATTAATGTAATAACAAAATAATTTTAATATATACTGCCATCGAAAATTCAACGATTGATAATGGAGAATAGTAAAAGAACTGGCGAATGAAATTTTTTAAGATTTACACTTATTGTATATAAAACCAGTTAAATGTGAAAATTTAGAGATAGTGCGTTTACTGGTGCGCAGTTCGCATCACAGATAGATTCACAAACAATGTATGCATAGTACAAGTATATATTATGTAGTATACACGTAATATACATGTATTTAAAGCAAGTAACTAAAGGTAACGTTAAAGTAAAAAATTGAATAGTATTCGTTGAACAAATACTGAATCGCTCTCCTTGCCGATGCGATTGTATGCATAAAGTTCTACCTTCTATTAAGTTTACACCAAAGTGCACTAGCCGTTAGCAAATGCATAAGTACTCCTATACCAATGATCAATATCAAATTATTTATCACATTTGTATCGTTGATATCCATTTCGTTTAAGAATTTCGTTGGCTTCTTGTAATGACAATAAAACTCATCGCACTTGAGATCCATCCGGTCGAACCCATAAACTGTATAAAGAAGACTATGGAAACTGGCGCGAAAATAGGATATATAGAATAACCAACGAAAAGCGCGAGGTGTGTCCAAGTATGTCGCGCAAAATCCAAATACCGAGAAGAGAGCTGCAATGATGGGTCCGAGGAACACGGCGATCTACGAGAAAGAATAAAATTAACAAATGTTGTTTTCCTTTTTTTTTGTTTTTTTTTTTGTTTTTTTTTTTTCAACGCACGTTGTAGTATAATATAATAGTAAGATAATTGGAGAGAAATGATTGTTGTCAAGAAAAAGGCATAACGTAGAAAATGTTATTTAGAATAGCATAAAACTGTTTTTAAAAAAAAATATCAAACATTTGCGAACGTATTAACACTTATCGGTCGTAAATCATTTCTCATATGACAACTACTTTGTCACTGTGATCGTACGTCACGTGGAAAGTGACAAAACGGAATCTGTCGAAACTCTCTCTCTCTCTCTCTCTCTCTCTCTCTCTCTCTCTCTCTCTCTCTCTCTCTCTCTCTCTCCTCTCTCTCTCTCTCTCTCTCTCTCTCTCTCTCTCTTTCTCTCTCTCTCTCTGTGAAATCCGGATACGATTGCCTTGTCAGATAAGTATTAGCAATGAAGCAATTGACATCTTCAGTGATATATTACTGTCCTCTGTACTCAATTTTTAATATATTGAGCTCAAAAATGAATAAAGAAAAGTTTATAAATTTCGATAGTGATAGTGACTGAGAATGTTTTGAAAATAATTCTCAAAGTGATTTTGATTCTAGTGATGAGACTAGCAGTCACATTTTATTACATCCTAAGAAAAGAAAAATTATGCTTATAAAATATTCAAGTGAAGAAGAAAATGATGTAGAAATATAAAATGATAATTCAGACGATGATTGGATTGAAATCGAGAGTGATGATGATGGTCTCCCTAGTAGAAAATTTACAAATATCAATCACCAAATTTTTAGAAATGTTCAGCAACCAATAGATAATTTCAAAAAATTTATTATTAACGAATTCATAACGTAAATTATAACGCAAACAAACTTATATGCGAACGAGCAAATTGCAAAGAAAGAATTATCCGCCAGATTAATTTGGCAAAATTGGAAAAACATTTTGTATGAGAAAATGCTTGCTTTTTTTGATGTGAAGACTTCATGTGCAATATGTCATTTTTCGCTAAGATTTTTAAGAGAGAGCGTTTTTTTTCTTCAAATTTTTTGAATACTCCATTTACATCAAAATCTTAACAATAATAGCTATACAATAACAAGATTTTCGAAAGTCAAAAACTTTCTGGACTATATTTCTAACAAAAATGTTATTCTTATAATCCAAAAAATCTTTCGCATATTTACCAAAATCAGCTACAACCTAGTGAGAATCACTTATAAAAAGTTAGCGTCCGATAAGAGTTAATATTATTTTAATTTATATATAGATAGACATAATGATTTGTACGTTTTACCTTAACTGGCGTAGTCGCACCGATAAAGAATCCCCAAGCTTGCGCTGTTAAAGTTGCAGCTATGCTAACTATCATAAAAGAAATAATACGATAAGTTTCTACGGGCTGTCCCGTTAACCAATAACTGATTGCCAGATAAGTTGCAGCGCATACTACTTGAAATGGTATTTCAACGAGTAACAAACTGATATAGTAGGGTGCCAATTTGTACCACCGATTGAAGTGTTCTCTTGTGAGAATTTTCATTTCCAAGGGAACTAAAAAGTAATGTTTT